CCTCTGGACTCTCTCCAGCAGCTCCACGTCCTCCCTGTGCTGTTCCCAGGGCTGGAGGCAGCTCTGCAGGGGGGTCTCACCCGAGGGGGCAGAGGGGCAGAATCCCCCCTGCCCTGCTGCCCACGCTGGGGGATCAGCCCAGGGCACGGGGGGTTCTGGGTGCTGGGGCAGGTCCAGCCTCTCACCCACCAGCCCCCAAAAATCCTCCTCCCCAGGGCTGCTCTCAGGGCAGGAGGTCAGAGATGATCCCTGCAGGCAGTGGGTGCCCACCAGGCCCCCGGGATGCAGGAGCTCTGCAATCCATGGAAAACACTCACCAAAGCCACACTCCCGTGCCACCACAACGGGACGGTGCCACTCACCCCGACCAGCCCGAGGGCACAGGGGTGCCCTGACCCATAGAATCCCGGGATCAACCAGGCTGGAAAAGCCCTCTGAGGTCATTGAGTCCAACCTGTGACCCAACCCCGCTGTGTCACCCAGCCCATGGCACTGATGCCACATCCAGAGTGTCCCTAAACACCCCCAGGGACGGGGATTCCACCCCCTCCTGGGCAGCCCATTCCAATGGCTGAGCACTCTCCTGGGAAGAACTTCCCAATGTCCAACCTGAACCTGCCCTGGCACAGCTTGAGGCTGTGCCCTCTTGTCCTGGGCACATCATCCCACTGGATTCAGTCCAATCCCAGCAGATTCAGTCCAATCCCAGCAGATTCAGTCCAATCCCACTGGATTCAGACCAATCCCACTGGATTCAGTCCAATCCCACTGGATTCAGCTCACTCTCACTGGATTCAGCCCAGTCCCTTTGGATTCAGCCCAATCCCTTTGGATTCAGCCCAATCCCTTTGGATTCAGCCCAATCCCATTAGATTTAGTCCAATCCCACTAGATTCAGTCCAATCCCACTGGATTCAGCCCAGTCCCTTTGGATTCAGCCCAATCCCATTGGATTCAGCCCAGTCTCACTGGATTCAGCCCAGTCCAGGCAGATTCAACCCAATCCCACTGTATTCAGCCCAATCCTGGTGAATTCAACCCAATCCCAGTGGATTCATCCCAGTCCCAGTGGATTCAAGAAATCCCATTGGATTCAGCCCAGTCTCACTGGATTCAGCCCAGTCCAGGCAGATTCAACCCAATCCCACTGTATTCAGCCCAATCCTGGTGAATTCAACCCAATCCCAGTGGATTCATCCCAGTCCCAGTGGATTCAAGAAATCCCATTGGATTCAGCCCAGTCTCACTGGATTCAGCCCA